TATGCGTAATAGCATTGAGACAATATGGTATGAACATTTCCAATATACTTAGGCTCAGTCCAACATAACCTGCACAATTTGATTTTATTTTCATAAACTCGTCAAATATGATCTGCTGAGATATTAAAGTGAAGTTAAAATCCTCATCAACAGAACGATGCTTGTGATTTTCATAGTACAGTAGTAGTAATTCATCTATTGTGCTATTTGGAATAGAATTTATAAAGAAACTATTGACAGAGTCAGGTTCAAAAGGGCAGTCGATAAACTTATTTTTATTACCATGTATAACTAACTGCTTGATACATTTCCACCAGCTACGAGAATTGCGCTTTTGCTTCAGCTGATACTCAACGTAAGCCTTCTTCTCTCTACGGATGGATGCAGTTACTAGATTTCGTAATTGGTTGTAATAAGTCCATTTTTGTTCAATGACTTCTTTGCTAGAATTTTTCTTTTTTAAGTTTTTATAACTGAAATAAGCTTTATCTCTTAGTTTCATCATGAGATGTATCTTCGGTGTTATCCAAGGGAGATACCTTTTGGATACCTTCTTGTATTTCAGAGGAGCACATGCATCTAGAACAAATAGAATTAGTTTATTCAAATACTCAACTTTAGAATTAATATCAGGATGATGGATCACACCTAACCAGTAGAGAGAAGAGGCGACAGTAATGAAAAGGTTCATGTCCATATTCTTTAAATTTCTTGTCTCTATATACTTAACATTGCTAGCGACAGGTAGTGATTCTACGCAAAAATATACAAGGTGGTGATCAGATATCGAAGGAAGTTAACAGTGCCAGTTTTAGTGACTGGTACATTTTGACTAACAAAAGCCACGTCAATCAATGTAGAGGTGAAATTGGTCACTCTGGTTTGGTTCTTCAACAATCTGAGCTAGTCCATAGTCTCTCAATATGTTACTTAGGAAATCATAACTTGAACCTGACTTATTTAAAAAATTAATATTGAGGTCACCCATACAAATTAGCTATCTACTTCCAAATGAAAGTCCTCCAAAGATGCTTCCAGACCTAACAGTGCTGAGAAATCTACCGACGGTGGTCTATAAACAATACCAGTTGCATATACGTGCTTGTTAATTCCCAGAGTTGTTCTAGACCTGCTTCAACCTGACTTTTTGAGTTACATATGTTACAACTAAGGCCAGTTCTTATGTAAAAAGCCACCTCCACCACCTCTTTTGCCAAGTCTGTCTGATCTAAAAAGTTGAAAGCCCTCAATATCAATATGCTTGTTCGAAACTTCAGGCTTAAGCCATGTTTCTGTTAAACGAAACACATCGAAGTTTTGAAGCAAAACGCAATCCCTAATCTCACTGAAGGAGCTAGTCAAGGATCTCACATTTAGAAAGCCAATCAATAAATTTTGGTCATCATTTGCAATAACATCAAATTCATACATGTTTATCAGTTCTAAAAGATCGTTAAAATATTCAGAAAAAAAAACAAACAAAGAATGTAGTAAGAGGTTATAAGAAGAAAGATTAGAAAGTGTGTACAAAAAAGAGTTTGTATGGGATTAAAAGTGACGATAAAAAACTGTTTTGCTAAACTTAAATTTAACCCTGAAAAAAAATACTGACAGTAGTTCGTTTTGTTATGAAGTATATCTTCCGCCTTTTTTAAAGAGGCACACTTTTTATCTCAAACTGCATGACACGGAAAGTAATGGATGTTGCTGTATCGCCAATAAGAATTCCTGCGCTTGCTAAACAGATTTCAGAGCCAAAAAAACGTTTGCAAGTGGAGATTGAACGAGCAAATCTTGAAAGTCCCGCAATATCAGAAACATTCGAATCTGAATCGTATGAAGCCAGTAAAAGCAGTACTGAAAGTAGTGACAACGAAGCTGACCAGCTTAGCCGAGACCGTAGTCATTCTAAGCGCAATATTAGTCAACGTTTAGAACCTGGCTTCATTGCCCATCCCCCGAATGCAGCCCTAAAGCTTGTCATTTTAGTAGCTATAAAATTCTATATCGTGACTGCCTCCCCCCCTAATTTAAGTATTCCCCAATAGACCCTAAAAAGATAAGATTCTATCTACATCCCTGGAATTTCTCTCATTGAAAACATATTAAGTACCATACTTTACTTCAGAATAGTGTAATGAAACCTCATTATGCATGCAAAAAGAACCAATTTCGGGGCTCTAATAGGCGTAACAAGATAAAAAGGTATGTATGATAATTTAAATTCCATAATATTTATCCATAATAGCCTTCAAAATTATTGTCACGAGCAGGCATTATGTCTTAATATTATTAGCTTTCAAAGCAGGATCAATATTTGCGGAGAAATATAAAAAAATACTACCCATTGGAGCTAAACAAAAAAAAATTAGCTTCATATAGGTACTTACCGAACTACTTTAACACCGCTGCTCTGAGGTTCATTTAAATTTGCATTATTTGCCAAAAACTCGTACACCATTTCCACATTCACATGGGGTAAATTTCGCGAATCAGCTTTCTGATAACCTTGGAGCATTGTGCTAGCACAAATAAATAAAGTACACAAACGTTGGTCCCAGTTTATATAAATTCGTATTCGAATACTCTTCACTCCATATACAACACAATACAAGATTCAAGTACTCTATGAGGGCGACAGCTCGTGTCTGGCTACTGACGTCACGCGGTCTAGTCTCGCGTACAGGTACGTTTTCTAGCCTTGCGTCGATCCTTGATTTTAAAATGCTTTCCGTCGACGTAAATATTAATATTTTGCACTTAAATTTCTTTGACCGTTTTTTAATAACAAAATCCCTCAATTTTAATTAAAATAAGAGAAATACGAAAAATTTCGAATCTTACTATTGACGGCACTTGGACGTTGGGACGATCATGGTGAAGTTGGCAGCAAAGATCTTGGCAAGCACTTCCGCCTTGGCTTTTGAGTAGGATACAATCGTTCCATCCTGACACGTAAGTGCTGGAAGGCTACTGTATGAGAAGTTCTTTTCAATCGGCTTGGTCAGCGTCCAGAAAGACCGACTGGCATTGCGCTGCGACATTAGCCTGTGCCTAACTTTTATATATCGTGCTGGTTTTTGGCATTACGAACCGCTTCATTAAATTTGTTTCTGGACTCGACGTCCGTCGGCTTGTCTGTTCTCTACTGTGCAGTTTGGTAAGAAGGCTCTGTGTGCCTTGATCTTCTGCTGGCGAGCAGCGTCACATGATTTGTTTAACCAGCCATTGAACCCTGAGGGATGTATTCCTGCATTCCGACGTGAATGATTTCGGTTATCGAAGACAGCCGACGCATCCGCGTCTGTGAAACAGACATCTCTCCAAGGAAAGGTAGAGAAGGGGTAAAAAAGTAGGGCTCTTTACCATCTGGGTCAGCCCTTGAGTAAGAGCGAACGCTTCAACTGCATGACTTGCTGCATCGGTCTTATTTGAGCCCAACTAAATCTCATTATGGGCATTAAGATCACTGAGGAGAACTACCTCTGAAGCGGGGTGGTTGATGTTCAGGAAGTCGATCTTGACGGCGAGGTATTCAAGTAGGTCAACCCAGTTATGGTCCGAGGGAGAGCGATAAAGGCAGCAAATAAATTTGGGGGATGTTTTGGAGTTGAGGCGAAGCCACAGAATGTCCTTCCGGTCTGATTCCAAAGAAACATCTCTGTAGCAGGAAAGATTGCTGCTGACAAAAGCGTCAGAGATAAAATGATAGCTTGCTTCCAGCAGGTTGAAAAAGCTCCCGTCTCTTGGGAAACATTGACAATATGAGCGACGTGATTTAAAATTTCGAGTATCCAGGGGTGCATCATCCTGCGACTAAGACCATCTCAACACGATGCATTAGACTTTATGGAAGATATAACATCGAGCACTTCATGTTGGTCAACATAGCGAAAACTAATAATAATAATAATAATAATAGTATAAGTTTATTCACCTATAAAGTATTACAGTTTATTGAAAATAAGTATGCATATATACGCAAATAAACTGAAATAATCCCACAGAAGAATTTAATGCTTGTGCATGGGAAAACATTTTTCATAACAATTTTTGCTTTGAACATAGTTGAATATAGTTAATACATAAATTCAAACACAACATAACCATAAAGGTAAGTGTGATAATATTATATTCAAATACTAATGTATTTTCATTTTAGTGAGTTTTTCTATTTCATGTCGATTATTATTTAACAAGAATTTTTTTATTTCAATTTTGAATCTATTCTTATTTGAAATGGATTTTATATGGCTTGGTAAAAGGTTATAATATCTAGTGGAGAGGTAACTGAAGCATCTTTGTCCTACATTTTTTGTTGTATCCTCGACTTTACTTCTTGTTTCATATTTGTGGTTCAATGAAATGAGGTTTGTTTTATTTTTGAATAAATTGATTAAAACATTGTACAAAAAGTGTTGCCTAAGATCGAGTAGTCTCGCTTCGGAATATAACACATCAGATGGATAGAGTTGGCAGTTTAAAAATAATTTTCAAAAATTGTTTTTGGATTATTTCTAGCTTCTTCATTTGGTTGGTGAGAGCAACCCCAAGCTAGTATGGCATCATTTAGGCGACATTCAATAAGTGCATGATATAACATCTTCATTGTTTCATGGTCTAAATTCTAGATATTTAGTGAAGTACTTGAATTTAAATAATAATCGTCATAAATTAGTTACTATATGATCAACATGGAAATTCCACTTTAAATGAGGATTCAAATGAACATCTCAATATTTTGTTTTATCAGCTGAATGTATGAATGTACTTGTATTGTCACATTTAATTTGTAAAGAGGTAAATGACGGTAATTTATTTTTAAGGTTTTTCTGAAAATTGGTTGTTAGATATTTGTGTCTAAACCAATCTGAAATTAAAATAATGTCATTTTCAACAGTCTCTTTAAGATTATCCCAGCAATTGTTACTAAATGAAGAAGTACTAGTGGTGAACGTGTTATTTTCATAATTATTAATGATAGACTCGATCACACTTGAATTCAAATTTGCAACAGGGAAGTGAGCTAAAAAGTAAATATTCAGAGAGTTTGGTTCAAGTAGATTATCAGGAATCCCAATTTTACTGCGATGGCAAATATTATATCTCCAATGATCTTCCAAGCAATTCAAATTGTCAATATGTGGAAGGTAAGCTTTTTTCTCTCTGCGTATTGAAGCTAAAGCATAATTTCTCAGATCCTTGTAAAGATTCCAGTTATCTTGATTAGGATCTTGTCTTTTTTTAATGTAGGTGTTAACCAGGATGCAGCCGTTTTGTTAACACGAGCCACCCTAAAAGGGACATAAGTATCAAATAGAATAGTGAGGGATTCAGTTAAAATGCATACCTTCTGTTCAATATCATTAACATAAAAAATCTATCCAAAAAATCTAGCTAAATCACGCTAAAACTAAACTACATAAATTAATCTTTTTATATCTCTATAGGTAATAAAACACGGACTGGGCTAGCTTTTGAAACCGTCTCTGAGCTATTTACGAAAATTGGATCAATGAGAGTCGAGCTGAATTGGGTTACTCTAGTTGTTTCGTCGATGATCTGCATAAAGCTATAACAATCAAAATATGTGCTGAGTCGGTTGTCTGGGTTGAGCAGATGCATATTCATGTCACCTAATACTATGATATTTTCGAATTGAGGTCTGAAAAATTATAGCAGTTTGTCCAAAATAGCAATGCTGTCGTCGTGAGGAGGGCGATAAATTAGCACTATAAGATAACAACTATAGAAATTTTCAATTGACAACGTAGTATCTCCAATGAACCCAGGTTGATAGGGTCCGTATCAACTAAAACATAATTGAGGTGCGATCTAGCATATAGGGCAACTTCTTTACCCCTAGATCTCTTTGGAATAAGCGGTAGCCGTTCATTAAAATTGAATCATCATCAACACAATCATTTAACCAAGTTTCACTAATTGTAATAATATCAAATTTATCACGGGCTAATGCAAAAAAGTCATCCAAAAAAGCCAGCAAGGAGCGAACGTTTAGGTGACATACATTCTTCAATCCCTTATTACTATTAACCATATTCAAATCCGCAACACTTACTACATTTTACAACATGTACATAATCACAGACCACTGACTTCTTCCACCCAATCAACAAATACCCCTCTTGAAGAAGCATTTTAAGAAGTGCTGGTGTCAGCTGAACGAAGACATTAATGCTGTTGAAGTGCTTCAGCTTGGTAATGAATTTAATATCAGCCTTACGAATATCCAGAGAACTATTCAAAGAAATGCTGGTGTCCAAGATACCCTCAGTGTCGATTCCATTTTTAATTAACATCCTTTTATTGAGCTTTTTAGCTTCAAAGTAGGAATACTTAGGACCCAATTTATCACTCACACCATTTTTTAGAGCTACTAGGGATTTTTCATCTTTGCAGAGAACAGCTACTCTATTTTTAATCAGCTTTGTACCATTTAGACAAACATTCAGGTCGCCAGGTTTAACAGATGTGACTTCATACAAAATACTTTTAGAATCAACAACCTGCTTATCTCCTGCTTTCACCAAAAGCACGGAAGAATTGTGCTTAGGCCTAGATGGCTTTTTTACAACATCGCTGAAAGTACTAGGACCTAGCAAAGTAGCAGCCTCAGATGTCCCAATTTTGCTTTCATGAGATTTCAGTAATTCCTTTTGTAGCCCATTACTATATATACTCTAACTCAGTTAATAGCTTTTTGGTTAAATTCAGTTCTCTAGAAAGACATTCGACTTCTTTTTCGAACAAGTTGATTCCAGTCTTCAAGGTTTTATCCTTTTTATTTACGGAGCAGAGCCAAATAAGATTTTCATATTCGGCAATTATTTTCACATAACTATCCTTGACAACACAGGACGAGTGGAATCTGCCATCACATATATTGTAGCTGACAGCCTTTGCGTTGAAAATAAAGTTGTCATCGCACACTTTACAGATCTCGATATCAGGTGCCATGACACCAAAATCATGGATCTAATTTCACTGATCTAACATATATGTACATGCCAACGAATTCCTTCGAACCCACAGTTTTTGCTGCATTCCAGTGATGCTACTTATATGAGTGTTAGGAAAATTCCAGTATCTCAAATACTTGTCATGGAACAACGAATACCTTATATTCACGGTGAATACTGCACAGGACACTCAACACTTCGTACTTTTCACAATTTTCATGCCACTACTAAATTTAGAAAACCCAGCGATTCAATGAGCGATGTTAGCAAGTACTATAACCCATATTAAATGGAGAGAACTAAAATGTATGTCCAGTTCGCTACAACGGTGAATTGGTTACTGCAAAAAATCGTTTATTTTTTGTTCTTCTAGAATTACTTGAAGTTTTGTCATATAGCCAAAAATAGTTTTATAGGATATGTATCTAGTTTGTTCCAGAGTGGTTTGAAAAACAAATTGTTCATTTTAATCTTCGAAACGGTAAGAGATACGGGTCAGTTGAATGACGGAAAAGTTTCGAATTTATATATTTTAGAAAACGCATTTGAACAGTTTCGACGTTTCGAGTATCTTCGGAGATACGCAGAAAAGGAAACGGATTATCCCAAAATAGTGTCTAATGTTTGCACATTCACAATGACGCCTTTTGACCTCTACAAGGTGGCAAAAATGGAACACTAATATGATTTTCCGTCTTTTATGCCCCGTCTCAACTTTGATTTTTCTTATATATACCATTTTTGTATAGACGAAAAGATATTTCAAATATCATATACAGGGTGTCTGGAAGGTCGATACAAATTCTTGTGGAGGGGATAGGGCCATTTTTAAGCCAAATATACCTCAGTTCAAATTCTTACGGTTGTCGAGATATTCGTATTTTAAAATGTAATCATAAATTAGTAAACGAAACAAAATAAACTATTGAAACATGCTTTCAAAGAGAGAACCATTGTTTCAAATACATGCTCGAGCTCTACGTGTTACTTCGGTAGTTGTTGTATTTAATAACCTGTCTTGCTGCATTAAATAAAAATCTTCTCGAATTTTTCTTATTAAATGGTCTCTTGATACGATTTCTTCAGTGTAAACTAACTGTTTAGCCCGCCCCCAGACATAGAAATCCAATGGTGTCAAGTCGGGGGATCTAGCAGGCCACGGAATTGGTCCACCTCTGCCTATCCAGCTATTTGGAACAGTATCGTCCAAATATTGTCTTACGTCTAAACGGAAATGAGCTGGACATCCGTCGTGTTGGAAACCGATTTTCATGTCATCTGGAATTTCTATTCCGACAAGTAATTCGGGAAGATCATTTTGCAAATAGTGTAGATAACTGTCACCGTTCAATCCTTCAGGCAAAAAATGAGGACCGATTAATCTTTATCCCATTCATTAACGGAAAATTTGTGTTGGAAAGACACCTGCTTTTTCCAGTGTGGATTTTCCTGCTTATCAGCCCATTGATGCAAATTGGATCACCATGTTCAAGTCCTTGTACGCCGATACCATGAAAAGGATACTTTCGTTCACGGTGCACGATACTCCAAACCTTCCATGGCGACAAACCAAGATCAGCAGCTACTTTTCTAGTACATCTAGTGGGATCATCTTCAAACGCTTGGAGGATTAGATCTTCGGCTGCAGGAGGATATCGACATGGATTAACACCAGGTTCATTACGTGTTACACTTCCAGTCTCGTAAAGACGTCGTTAAGTATTTTAAAACACTCTGACATTGGTCAATCTTCTCCCAGGAAACGCTCTGTGTACAACCGTCGTGCTTCTAGACCATTGCCATCTAGTCTGCCATACAAGTTATGATGCAGACAAGGATGCACGTGGAAGAAGAAAATGCTGAGGAAAGCATCCGAGCCCGAGATGATAAATAGAGGTTCTTCATGCTTTCCACAGAGATTCCTCGTTTGTTCGTCATATTGTACATGTTATGTATTGTAAAATATTTCAAGTTAGTTTTGTAAAGTAAAATAAAAAATTTTAAAAACCCGAACGGCCATTGCGGCAACATATCTTACATGTAAACTATATCTGCGTATTCTTTGCTGGTGAAAGCGGCCATTTTACAATTCAGGGTTTTTGGACTGAAATTCATGACTTGTTTGGAGAATGTGTATGATTTAGTTTTTGTCATGCACGCAAACTCGTTCCTTCTTATCAGTATCACAAAAATAGGAAAACATGTATTTATTATTTGTTTACAATCAACTTGTTTTTCTTTTCTTTACCTTTGGAGAAGACAAACACACTGTCAGATATTTAAAAACTATTTCATATAGTCGTGATGTATGATGTTCTTTCAGTGATAACAGGAACAAAAGTTATATTTTTTCAATAAAAAAGACTTTAAATTAAGGTATTTTTGGCTTAAAATATTCTAAATGGCCTGTCCTATCACCTCCCCAAGACCTTGTATCGATATTCCAAGCACCCTGTATAGCATGCCATGCATTAGTATTGCAAAACTATAATTATTTTAAAAAACGATTTTTTCTGAGTAACTGTTGAAATTATCAAATAGTTATTTACACATGTTACGGATTGATATAAAACTTCAAGCGCCTAACTTCATATAGTTGGTCTAAACTCATCGAATGCGGAGCAACAAAATGTAACGGTAATGATGAACACATGAAAAATGGTATGATTTAAAAAAAGCATCAAGTAGGTTGACTCTACACTTTCCACGCAACGCCGTCATCAGTTCATAAACGATCATGTTCAGCACAAGTTAGACACTATCGAAATAAGATAGCGTCACACACCTTATATTTCGCTCGTTGTCCCAGAGATCAAATCTAGACAATGCTAATGAGTTGGCAAAAAAGCACTAAACAGCTGTTTGTGGTTGGCGCTAAGAAAAGTGAGTTACGCCCATGTAAAACAGAAACAAACAGATGAAGTCCGTCAAACAGGTCCGTACAATTAGTCCATAACATCCTTTCCCTGCCGTACCCGTAGTACCGTCCATCTGGCAACGTCATGTGAGCTCCCCCCAATATCTGAGATCATGATGTGTCACAACCGCTAGCACGCCCAGAGAGCACCAGTTATGCACTACCATACGAACACCGGCACTCCAGCCGCGGCTGTTGAAGTCAGCAGATGCAGGTACGCTTGTCAAAAACATTTATCTATCGTTTTAAGGACAGGTGTACGTCAAAAAACGAAGATTAAGCTCCTTTTATTTTTTTCATGTTTTTGTCCCTATCTCCGCCTTCTCTAGATCGATTTTCAAAAACTATAGAGCTGTTTCGTCCGTATCATAGTAGTAACTTTGTGTAAAAATTTCATCAAAATCCGACCAGTACTTTCCAAGATATAGCCGCTCCAAGGATTAGCGGACAGACAGACCGACAGAAATAAGTGAGTTTTACGTGATGTACGTCATATAATATTCAAAAAACATAATATTTCATTTCCGCCAATAGGCGTGTGAAATAAAAACTCATCGCAGAAACGTCACGAAAATGAAATTCTACTTATGGCACCGTGTAGAAGAGATGGAGTGGTAATGCTAGTGTGCAATTTGTTTGAAATTTGTAGACAATCTGCATGGTCCAAAAGTTTTGTTTCGGATTAAAGCCAGAAAAAAATAAAGACGATTTAGAATAAATTCGGAAATACTTTCACTAATTACGACTTTTTATTTACCTGCGTAACTTTGCCTCCATAAAGAAACCCGTATTGTTAAGGCAAATGTCACAGAGTACAAATATTTACTGTGGTACGTCAACATTTATCATGGAATGTGATATTTATTGACCATGTAGCCTGAACGTCAGTAATTACTGATGCATAATGATGTCTCAAATCGGGCTCATTTTTGGAGGTATGAGGCTTTGTAAATTTCAGGTTCTTAGGTGTAACGGTTCGGTCTGGAGACGCGCTCGAGGTTTGAAGGTTCGACAAAAATGTGAATTTTATCATTTTGGAAACTTTTTTCTCTTCAAGAAAGTAGAAAATGACCACCAAATTGCGATATGATAATTCGCTCGACAGATATTTCAGTCAAGTGACTTTTTCGAATCTTTTCACTGGTTTATTGGGCTGACAATTCAAATGCCTTTCAAACCAAAAAATGAACAAAGTTAATTTTTTTTGTAAAGGAGATAAACCAATCCAACTATAAATGCAATGTTGTACTCGGATCTTTGAATTGGTCGAACAGCCTTTTTATACACTTTTCAATATTCTGGACTAAAATTGGCCATTTTCATGATACTGGGGGGCGGATAGATCTTTTTCAACAATACATCATCTGGGACCGTATCCTGTAAAGCTGATAGAGAAATAACAGAAGAAAAAAATAGAATATCAAAAGTAGCGATTCTCCACAAAATCTTGAAAATGGTAATAACTCAAAAAGAGCGCATAATCGGATGACATTTTTCTGATTGGAAATGGTCACCTCAATCACGCCCTTTCATTTGATCCATGCCTTTTACACCCTGTATACTACTTAGTTCTTATTCACTTATAGGTGAGAAATTATTAAAATACCTATGAGTGTAAGCTGATAATCATCTATTATTCGCTCCACCCAATATCTGTGGTCCGACGAGTTGGATATTCACATTCAAAAATTTAATAATGTTCCCAAAATACATAAATACTATGAAGTGATGCGATTCCAAATGTAAAAATACGTGAATGACAACACAATTGTATTAATGTGTAATTAGAAAAAATGTAGAAGGCGATTTACTATAGCAGATGCGCAAATCTGCTGTGAGTAATCCGTGCTTACCTTTTATCAGGAATTTTGAAATCGTTCCTAAACTTCTCAGCTAACTTGAGTTCATTGGCTTCAAGCAGTACCCTGCATGTAGCATTCACTGACTTGTCAAGGAGCTTACTCTTCATTGCAGGTATTTTTTCTTCGACTTCCTTCTGAAACCTAAACAGCTTAATGCCTTCCTCGCACATCGTGGTGCAAAAATCTTTGTGTCCTTTTTTATATGCTTCTGCTGCCGATGTTAATAATGCTTCCTTCATGTGATTTTTCTGAAATGATTATAGTGTATATCAAAATACAAGGCGACTTAACTCTAAGACGGAATAGATATTTTTGCAAAAAATCGCGTCCAGTAGATTGACTCTGTATTTCTCTTGCAATTCCGTCATCAATTATAACTAATACAAAATACAAACAGATTAACCATACACATGTACCGGGCGTTTCAAATTTAACCCTTACTATTGGGATCTCGGAAACGGTAAGAGATAGTCGCTTAAATGGGACAAAGTTGCGTATTTAGGTAACTAACAAAATGCCGCTTAGAAAGTTTCGAAATTCAAAGTACTTCCGGGGAGAGTCAGAAAATACAGAATTTTGCCAAAATCGTTTTAATGTTTTCCTGACTTTATTTTAGAGGGATTTTAAAATAAATTACACATTAACAATCCCACTTCTTCTCCTCTACAAGATGGCATAATTAGAATTCCAATATGACGTTTCGTCTCGTGTCCCCCAGCATCACCTTTATCTTTTGTTATGGATACCAAATTGGATTTTTGCGCAGATATGGTTTTTAATTCTAATTTCAAAAATGTTTAATATGTCATACACTGACATTACCAAACCTTAGTTATTCCAGAAAATCAGAATTTCCTAGGTAGGCCTTGAAATTATCAGATAGTATTTGTTTTGTATACCAGATCAGGCCTTGAATTTAACCCAGTAACAGAGTTTGCTAGGCTGAGAAAAAGGAAAATAAACCAGTGAGCAATGATCAGAGAAGAGTCAGGCTTTGCCTACCAAATAATGAACAACAACTGCTATGATTTATATCTGCTTATTTATGATTATTATAGTTATCACCATCAATAAAATTTTAATTTTGTGTTCATGTCTTATCATACATTCATGACTAACTAAGGAAATATATCACTGAATATGGGGCTGAAACGTCCATTTAACGGGGCTCCTACAATCACGAGCACCATCTGCTGAGGTAACAGGGGGGTGAAAAGGAAACGAGAGTAGGCTGGCCTTAGACGCTCGTCGGCGCTACGTTAAAACAGGAAAGGATGACTGCGGGTGCGTACCGAGGTAAATTTTTATAATAACAAAGTCCGATTTCGATTAGCGATCTAGCTTGTAAATCGTTTCCTATTTTGGTACTCAGCAAGTGATCATTTAGTACTGTTCTACCCTTGTTATTGTTCGTCGATATTGTTTTGTTGAATTGTTGTGCTGTACTCTTGTTGGTGTGATTGTTCCTGAGTGCCTTTTTTTATCAAGGTTGATAATGGACAATAAAAGGTCATATGCGACAATTTTAATTACGAATGCAGTGAGTTTAATTCATGATGAGGACAACAATAGTGTGGAGCAGTTCAACTATAATCGCAAAATATATTGGGGTAAGCGAATAAATTATTGCAAGGATAGGTCATAACATGGAAGATGTGGTGCAGCTGTAGTGAGCCACAATACCAAGCGACCTGTCTATGTGGTCCAAATAAATGTGCGTTCTAAGCTTAGTCCAATCTCGCATATCACTAAGAAGGAACAAAGACTCAAACGCAAGAATCTTGAAAAGAAACTCAGAGCAAAAAAAGCTGATATAAAAATAACTAACAATTCGGATAGCAATTCCAAAGAAAATGAATAGTTTTATGGGAAATTCTGTCAAAAACCTGACACGAACGACATTGATTTGGAGGTTGCTAAGCAAGAATTTTTAGGGAAACTTAGAAAAAGTGACAACGAGATTTTGCAGATCGAACAGGTCACCAAATCACAGGACTGTACTTTGTGGCGCCTTCGGAGGATGAGGTTAACAGCGTCTCGATTTGGTGAAGTTTGTAGAAGAAGGCAGACAGCAAGCCGTAAAGTTCTAGTAAACACCATCATATACCCAACAGAGTTTTCTAGTAAGACAATAAAAAAGGCAATACAAAAATCATGGGACACGGCAGTTCAATCTTGTGGTTTGTTTATTGATCGCACACATCCATTTCTGGCAGCATCACCTCCATCTACCTATTACAGTAGACAAGACATGTACTTAATCCAGGTATAAGCCTACCTGTTTACTGCTTTGCAAAAACTACCTAACTGTTTCCTCTTATTTTGACGGCATAAGATATTTTTATGATCCTCGTTCAATTGTTACCACATGACCCTTGTAAACATAATTGTGTTTATTGACATGAATAAACCAATTTGAATTTGAGTTCTAGAATTTATTTTAGGAAAGATATAAAATTATTTGAATACATTTGTTCTTAGTCGGAACGCACCGTCGCGTCGCTTGGACTCGCAGGACGAAACAGTAGATGAATTTCGCCCAAAAACCGATTTTCACTTCACAGCCTCCGTTTCATTTTTATTATTTCCAAATGAAAGTCTTGCAGCCTGCTAACAATAAAGTCCACAGGTTGCTAATGATCCAGTTAGGATCTTTTTAAAATATCAAGAAGTTGAGCACAAATAGTAAGCATTTCAACCCACCATAATTCTTGCGCAAAGACAAAATTTTGTAAAAAGCTCTGATAGCACCCTAGGCAATTATGTCCTGCTTATATCCAGAAAAACATCACAAACTGCAAAAGACAATTGAAGGTAACGTAAAATGGGTACATTTCAAGGGTCATGAAATTGAAATGAAAATGCAGGTATAAAATCTACCAAATTATCATTCTCAAAAACATATTTCCTTGACATATCGAGAATTTTAAATTCCCCTATACTTGACTGGAGCGATATCCGAATTTATTCTTCACTACTGTCGGTAGTTGCAGATCTGTTGGCTCTTGGTGTCAAACCTATAGAGCAGTACCGATTTTTTCAAATCATGAGCACATTATTCGTCGGATTTTCGTTACTTAAATTTCCTGTAATTACTGGGATCAGAAGCTTCTTAATAATAGAACTGATTTCAACCCCCTCCCCTTTTTAAGCAGTACAATTTTTTTATGTCAATGATTAGGAACCCCCGAAACGTCAAAAACGGAGCTTCAGCAATTGTTACTTTTCCTTTTTTGCCTATAGCACCGTTACCACTGGACTAAAACTACAAAGCTTTGGCATACTAGTGACCCCGTGTGGAAATTTCATAAAAATCCGAGCGGTAATTTCCAAGTTGATGATGAGTGATAGTTTTTCGTGATGTAGATGTCATATGACTTAATAAAAAATAACATCTCATTTTAGAAATTTTTCGTGATTACAATACTTCCTCGCCAATGGCGTGGGAAGTAAAACGACTTTAAAATCGAGGAGTATCAGCGATGAGTACCTATTTGCAGAACGACTTACCTACGCGATATTATATGAAATAGGGCCACCAAATTATCTGATTCGTAGTCCGTACATTGCGCCGCAACGCTTGGGTTGGCGGCACGAAACAGTAGACAAAATTCGTCCAAAATACGATTTGTAGAGGTTTGCGCGCTTCGAAATTGACGCTTAATTTTTTGATATTTTCGGATGAAAATTTCACAGTGTCCTGAAAATAAAACCCCACAGGGTGCTATAGAGCCACTTCTTCATTTTTTCACTAGGTTCTTTTTAAAAAAATTGCGAAGTAGAACAAAAAAAGTGCGCACTTCAACCCATCATAAAAGTTGTGCAAAAACGAAATTTTAAAAAGTGCTCCTATAGCACCCTGGGCAATTATCTTCTCAACATACTGTATGAATTTCATTCAAAAATATTGAAAAATAGAGTGTCAGTTTCAAAGCAGCTGAACCCTTGTAAATGGCTTGAAACTCACTGCGTCGGAGCCGCCTTAAATGTACAAAATTCCAATCTAACGTCCATATGAAAAACAAAGGTGGTGATGGAAGTTGAAGAAACCACGAATTTAGACTACACCATCTTGTGTAAGTACAAAGACAACATGCAATGCATTCTGAAATCCCATCTCACATAAAGTCAGGAAAACTAAAAATGATTTTGGGGTAAATTCTGGTATGCAAAACAAATAACTATCTGATCATTTCAAGACCTACCTGGGAAATTCTGCTTTTTGCCAATGTATGACGTATTGTACATTTTTGGAATGGAAAACTCCACTTATCTGAGCAAAAATCCAATATGGCGTCCATTTTAGCTTTTGCTCATGACATAACTATAATGTATGAAGCCGATAATTGAATAGACTTAAAAATAACCGCTGAAAACTATTTCACACATATAATTGACTGGTTTGATGAACATGTATTGACTGTCAACTACAATAAAACATATTACACGCCTTTTATACCCACGCACAGCTCTAAATTGCTCAACTATCAATCTCTAACCGCCACCAAAGCTAAAAATCAAATAGTTACACTTTCACAGAAGCAACATATAAAATATCTTGGCATTTTTTTAGATAAGAGACTTTGCTGGGACATACACATAGAATATATCACTAAGAAATTAAGATTCTTACTATACACATTTCATTATTTTAAACACTTTCTTACCAAAAACCAAATGATTAGACTCTTTCTTAGTTTAATAGAGTGTCATTTAACATATGGGATAATAGCGTGGGGCTTGGTATATAAAATACACTTAACTATGATAGAAACTATACAAAAACTAATCTAAAAAAAATATATTGCATAAACCATTATTATATATTCATACAATAATAATGGATCAACATAAAAATAAAAACAATATTGAATATATAGAATATCAATAGGTATAATACAAGAAACAGAAATACTCAAATTCGCCTACTCACACCAAAAAAGACATTATGCTAAGGTAGTTTATGTTCCAGGGTCCACTAATATACAACGTATACCAAAACAACTAATTAAATATAAAAATTACCACCACCACAAAAAATAACATCAAAATTTTGATTATTTATTATTTCCGTACAAGTTATGGAATCCTGATGATTACCATTTCAACGGTACGGCTAACACCGTCCCGATGCCCTTTTGATTAACGTCGTCCATCCGGTTTCTAGTTACAGCTTTAGATGTTATCTTCGCGAGAACATTACCGACTTTGCATTTTGCTATGTTTTATTTCTTATAAACTAAATATGAAATGTAATTAGCGTTGTTGTCATCCTGTTTTCAACCAATAAAGTTCCTGCAATAGTTTCGAACCGAAACCACACTGAGTTTAATTTCTCACATAATCCTTCTACTTCTCGTCCCGCTATTACTTATGGACAACAATTTAGCAACCCACAATCATTCACAATTCACAATTCTTGTCTAACTTTTAGACAACCATTCTATATTTCCCCACAAAGTCGTCAATTTTCGAACTCTTTCAACCCCTCTCAACACAATTTTGCATATCGTCCACAATTTCCTATGAATAGGCTCCCTGTCACCAATACATCAAGACAAAATAATTAAAATCATCCGACGCCTATGTCAACTTCGACGATCCAGTCACGTAGACCTTTTGTAAGACCCAATTTCTTTTCGAATAATGGTCAACGCCCTAGCATGGCTGTTCAAGAACTTACTAATAACGAATCCAAACCCACTAATGAAAGCTCTATAGAAAATGTAGCAAACCCCTTCGAATCTTATTATTCTGAAGCTTATTGTCCAGAAAATTCCGTAGAAGATCAATTTCAATATTATGAAAACGATTATTCTCAAGAAAATTTTCAGTCAACTCCTCAACAACAATCCCCAGAATAGACATTGATTTAAACTATTATGAAAATATTCATCTCCCATATCTCTACAATGAAGCTTTGGATTTACTTATTCTTATAGATACAGGTGCTTCTGCATCTCTTATGAATCCCCAAATTGCCTACGACAAATTTCCGGATTATATTTATCCAAAATGTTTTTCTATCAAAACAGCAATTGAACCCAAAATTGGTACTCACGCTTGTAAGATCCCTATCTTTGATGATCTAGGTATTCCAACAGAAGTTGAACTCTTATTACTCCCATGGCATCAAAAATATGATTGTCTTTTAAGTTACTATGACCTACAGAAATTCTACAGTAATTTTTACATTTCCCATAATATACTTTCCATCGAAGACTTTGAAATTCTGTCATACTCATAAGGAACCAATAGAAATTCCCAATCAGATTCTCTCACCAAAATGTCTAAAGAAAACAGAAAAGATTCCCGTTGATTCAAATGAATACATTTCTGCATTTCATTCTATGAAAAAAGTACTTTGTAATCCCCCAGTTCTTAGTTATCCAGATTTTTCTAAACCTTTTACGGTCACAACCGACGCTTCAAATATTGCCCTTGGTTCTGTCCTATCTCAAAACGGTAAACCTATCGCTTTTCATTCTAGAACATTGAATTCTGCAGAACGTAATTATTCCAAAATTGAAAAAGAACTTCTATCCATTGTCGACTCTTGCAAACACTGCAGACCCTATCTTTTTGGTAATGAATTCACCATCGAAACAGACCATAAACAACTTATTTGGTTATCCAATCTCAAAGAGCCTAATCAAAGATTAGCTCGCTGGCGTTTAAAATTAGAAGAATATAATTACAAAATAAACTACAAAAAAGGAAAAGAAAATCATGTCGCTGACGCCTTAAGTCGCATTGAAATTAATCATAATTCCGATGCTCTCGCTCCCAACACGTCCGAAAATCCTATGGAAATTGATGCTCGTTCTACAGACACACAACATTCTTCACCTGAGTCTCATCCCAATACAATTTTTATTTCAGAAGACAAAAACTTCTACGCTTATCCTAAGCGAATAGAATTTATCTTAGGTTTCCGTAATAGTTTCAGATATCTTGACGAAGAACGATTCGAAGTTAACATCACTGGTGCCAATCAAGAATCCTTTATTATCGATTTTATTAAATCCAAATGTAAACCCACATTCCGATATGGAATCTGGTATCAGGAACCATTCTTCTTGTCCCTACTTAGTCGAATTCTAAAGAATCATTTTTCTACAGCCCAGATTGAATTCGAGAAAGCCGCATTCAAACCTGAATACATTTCTAAAAATGATTACGTCGACAAAGTTTCTCTTTATCATTCTCAAAATCATAATGGTATAGATGAAACATACCAGCACTTCCGAAAACTCATTTACACTTCCAAAAATAAAAAGATTATTCAAAATATTATTAATAAATGCGAAACCTGCCTTCGAAATAAATACGAAAGACATCCTATTACTCAGCCCATCCAAGGCCCATTTTTCAGTATTGCTCCATTTCAACTTTATATTCATTGATGTTTTCACTGTCGAAAAAACTAAATTCCTAACCTTCTTTGATCACTTTTCCAAATATGCTCAAGCCTATTACTTACCTTCAAAAAATCATGTTGATGTCCTTAATAAAATGAAACATTACTTTCCGACCCTGGCGAATTACGCTCCAATATCATTAAAGAATATTGCCAAAATCATAATGTTGAACTTCACCTCGGAAGCACTGCATTTCTCCCATTGAACGTTTTCACTCCACCTTAGGTGAAAAATTCAAATCCTTAAGATTAGAACGTCCCACTGACCCAGTAAACGACATTATTTTAGATTCTATATTGATCTATAATCAATCTATTCATTCCCAAACAAAATTGACCTCTTTCGACTTGTTATATGATCACCGTGAACCTCTTCAGACTTATGAAGAATTTCAAAAACAAAAATTCGAAAGACGAAAAGAATTAGCTGACAACATTTACAATAAGCCTTGCAAACAATTGTTAAGCGCAACGAGAGCTCCAAACCTTCCAAAATCCCTGTATTAAAAGGCCCTATTTACATGACCCCCCATGACGCTACTAGACGTCCAAAGAATTTACCCAAATATCAAAAACACGAAACCTACAAACAAAATAGAACCCAAATTCAGATAAAAGATCGGAAACATATGATTAAAAAGATTAAACCACCTCGCATTGTTTCAGATGTGTGACGACCACCATAGCTGTCCACATAGCCTCGGAACATTATTTGCAACCCATACAACAGATACGTTTAGGCAATGCAAGAAATATTCATCACTATCACAAAGTCTATTTCTCCATTAACCTCACTGATATTTCACATATCATGCAAATGTTTTCTGACATAATTGAATTACATAATAAAATTCCCACCAGCTTAGATAATCAGATTCAAAATTTATACGAAGACACCTATTCCAAGTTCGCAACTCTAACACAGCATAGAACCAAATGCGGACTAGGTTCTATAATTCGTTTTATTTCTGGCAACCTTGATCAAAACGATTTAGATCCTATTTTGAAAAATCGGAACGCTTTCCGAAATAACCAGAATAGCTTGCTTGAAAGTCATCAGAAAACTATCACGTTTTGCAAATCTCTTCAAGAAACTTTTGAAAATAATACTAGAAGAATTCAGTCAATTGTTATTCATAATGTCCAAACTATTGAACATCAGTCTTTGTTATCACACCAGACGATCCATCAGATCTCAATTATTACAAATATGCAACGATTTAATTCATATCTAAATTCACTTTTATTAGTTCTACAATTGAACCAGCAAACAGGTCTCAACACCTTACAATTATCTCATCACCAGATTACCTTACTTATTGAACATTTAAAATCCATTTATAAAGACGAAGAATTATTGCCATTCGACAAAATACATTTATTTGAGATTTATGATATTTCCCTTTTATCACTTATACTTTTAGGAAACCAACTCATTTTTGTAGTTGAGTTACCCATTTTAGATGTTAGAACTTATTCCTTATTCAATTTATTTTCAATCACAGTCAAGAAAGAATTAGTAAAATTACCAAGTGATTATATTTTATACTTTGAAAAGAATTATTATTGAAAAAATATCATAGAGTTAAGCAATCAGCTGTATGTTTGCACGAATACTTTCCAGTCGCCATGTCAACCACTTAAGTTAGACACTTGTGAGTCTGAAAGTCTGGTAAACTACACGCGAATCCTAGAATTAAGTAAGAACAATTATGTAATCGACACTAATGATTTAACAAAAATCAAGAGTTGTAAAGGAATCCATCATATTCATTTTACTACTCACATTATTTTAGAATGTCATACATTTATTAATGATCAAATATTAGAATTTGACTCTAATTATGACATTGAATTAGAATTATCCTTCAGAGGTGACAACGATAAATATTAATTTAAGAAAACAAACATTTCACTCGAATCTTATTTTCAAAAAAATCTCACATCACTTCAAGTTCATTTTGAAGATTTACAGTTTCATTCTACTATAAGTTACCCTGTTAGTTTTACTGCTGTAATTATTTTATTGGTTTTATTTATTATAATTTTTGTTAGATACCGTTATGTAAAGGATACTAAAACTCCACCCCAAAGTAGTGATATTTAAGAAACTTCTCCTTAAAATTAAGAGTTCGAATCATTTTTTGAGATTGGAGACCAATCTTTCCGAGGAGGGAGGAGTTATGGAATCCAGATTACCATTTCAACGGTACGGCTAACACCGTCCCGATGCCCTTTTGATTAACGTCGTCCATCCGGTTTCTAGTTACAGCTTTAGGTGTTGTCTTCGTGAGAACCTTACCGACTTTGCATTTTGCTATGTTTTAGTTCTTATAAACTGAATATGAAGTGTAATTAGCGTTGTTGTCATCCTGTTTTCAACCAATAAAGTTCCTGCAAAAGTTTCGGACCGAAACCACACTGAGTTTCATTTCTGGCGCTGCGAACAGGATCCCAGGCTTGGTTTTTGTCACCATTGTGAGAAATATCTAATAGACGAGCTGCACAGCGGTGTCTCCGAGTTTCATTTCTTACATTCCCCTACTAATATAAATTACCTCTACCCCCTAGCCTAAGATCCTGAGAGTATCAATGATTTGAAAACTAATTTAACAGGAATATTTCAAGTTCATACAGTTTCCTTCTTTCCTGCATTCAACGTCACTCACGCCCCACTATCTTATGTACGAGGTTTATTCAAAAAGTATCGCGAATTTCATGTTTTTTCAAGAATTATTTATTTATTCATGAATATCTGTTTTGTCCCCTTCACAGCAATCTCCATCAGACATTATACACTTGTGATAACGTTTTTTCCGAGAAGCATTTTGAAAAATTATTTTTTGTGATCTTGTTCAGCTCCTCCTTAGATGCCGTCTTTATCTCCTCAATCGTGACGTAGCGTTGTCCTTTCATTGGCCTCTTCGAGAACAAGAAAAAGTCACAGGGGGCCAGGTCTGGAGAATACGGTGGGTGAGGTATTATTGAAGTGCTGTTTTTGGCCAAAAATTCGCGCACAATTAACGATGCATGAGCAGGGGCGTTATCATGGTGCAAAAGACAATTTTTATTCTTCCACAAATCCGGGCGTTTCTGGCGGATTGCTTCTCACAAACTGCGCATTACTTGAAGGTAATATTCCTTATTGACCATTCTACCTTGCGGTAAGAACTCATCAATGGTTTCGTCTGTCGTTGACGTGCTCGGGCGTCCGGAACGCTTTTCGTCTCTCACATCTTCTCGGCCCTCTGAGAACATTTTGTACCACGGATAAACGTTACTTTTGTCCAAAGTAGCTTCGCCCTATGCAACAGTCAACATTTGGAATATGTCCGCACACTTCAAGTTGTTTTTTACACAAAATTCAATACAAATTATTTGATCCATTTTTTGGAATAGACAAGCTCGGAGACAAGCTAAAACAGGTCCACGCACAATAGCTGTCAAGAATTGACTGAACATTCAAAATGACCGATATTTTCAACATTAGTGAGGGTCATGAGTACCAACATAACGCCACAAAAAGATCGAAAATCGAACATACGTAGCCCGCGAAATTTAAAAATTTGCGATACTCTTTCAACAAACCTCGTATATTTATAACATAGAAAAACCAGAGCAAATCTTCTGAATGATGTAATTGCACGCTTACTGCCACAGATTATTAGTTACACTACAGATAATACTCTCTCGTATGATTCCTGGTACCACTGTTAACAGCGCTAAATGACGATTGCCCGAACACTAACTCATAACAAACGAAACTGAAACGAAGATTGCTTACAGGATTCTGATCCGGGATGCTTGTCCCCTCTGTTATCCTCGAGTTGCATTATATTTATGAACAAATTTATACAGGTTGTTTTTAATTATACTAACTTGGAAAATATGTATTCGTTATAGGAATTAATCATTAAGACATACAGTTTTCACCCACTTTTATTCTGTACAATAACCTACAACATATAACGAGAAGCATGTAAGTAACTACATGACATTTAAAAAATGGCGTCAAATGGATTGATAGGTCATCAAACTATGTACCTTATCAAAAAATTTGAATCCAATTCAATTTCATACTTTGCAGTATTTCCAAAAGAACCATAAAATAGATTAACACGAAATAGACCTCGAAGATATTTAATTTAGTAACATTTGAAATATAAAATCAACACTGTCGATGCCATTGTCAAACCGACTACAAGCATGACAATCTATACTTGCTTATTAAAACTAGTCACACACTTTGGCGCTTTAAAAAAAATACAGAATATTTCTAAAGATGACTAGTTTCATCTGTACACAAATGTATTTTATAAAATATACGTATATATTATGTACAAATATATTATATAAAATGTAATCTCATTTGATCTATACCATTCATGAGAGATTACTTTATATGGATAAAAAACATTATCGACAGAGCGGGGCTGCGATGATGGATCCACATCTGTTCAGCTCCGAAGAGGACGCAGACGAGGTCGGCCGCTTTTCCTGTTCTTATTTTCTACCAATTTTTGTGACATATTCCTCGAATTTGAATTTTGCTGGCAACTTGCCCAATATATAGTTTTGTCTCGTTCCATTATATATGCTTCCCTTTCAGGTCCCTGCAGACAACTTCACTGGTGTGAAGTTGGCAGACAAAATTTAGCGGACAATTTGCCGAAAATACCCGAATGACCAGTGGCGTCGACATCCTCGACCAGACTGTGATTGTGAAGGATGCAGCTAACAGCTCGCAACAATAAATATTTATGCACGAGAATAAGCACCCCTATAGGAAGAATCATTTTCCACCCTAATTAAATAATTCCCAGGAACAAGAGTTAACCCAAAACCTTTCTTCGAACTTTCACTTACCGATTACTGTATATATATATTGAAAGTAATTAATGAGAGAAATAGCATATACTGAGAAAATCTCTAAAGGGGTGGTAGATGAAAAAATATAAATAAAACTTCATTTTCACCCCCAAAAAAATGATTCTCCAAAATGATTTATATCTCAAAAAATACTCTATTACAGAGACAATTCATGGGCTAGGTGGCATGGTGTGAGAAAGCTTCTGAAAGGCTGGCAGATAAAAAAATATGTTTATAAATTCATTTTCACCCCCAAGGAAATGATTCCTCAAAATCAGTTGTACCTCAAAAAATACTCTATTATAGAGACAATTTATAAGCTAGGTGGTATCGTGTGAGAAAGCTTCTGAAAGGCTGGCAGATAAAAAAATATTTTTATAAAATCCTCTTCACCCCCAAGGAAATTATTCCCCAAAATCAGTTGCACCTCAAAAAAATACTCTATTATAGAGACTATTTATAGGCTAGGTGGACTGGTGTGAGAAAGCTTCTGAAAGACTGGTAGATAAAATTGTCTCTATAATAGAGTATTTTTTTGAGGTACACCAAAAAAAAAGGTACAACTGATTTTGGGGAATCATTTCGTTGGGGGTGAAAATGAATTTTTTAGCATATTTTTTATCTGCCAGCCTTTCAGAAGTTTTCTCACATCATGCCACCAAGCCTATAAATTGTCTCTATAATAGAGTTTTTTTTTTTGAGGTACAACTGGTTTTGGGGAATCATTTCCTTGGGGGTGAAAATGAATTTTTTAGCATATTTTTTTATCTGCCAGCCTTTCAGAAGCTTTCTCACACCATGCCACCTAGCCTATAAATAGTCTCTATAATAGAGTATTTTTTTGAGGTACAACTGATTTTGGGGAATCATTTCCTTGGGGGTGAAAATTATTTTTTTTAGCATATTTTTTATCTGCCAGCCTTTCAGAAGCTTTCTCACACCATGCCACCCAGCCTATAAATTGTCTATATAATAGAGTATTTTTTTGAGGTGCAACTGATTTTGGGGAATAATTTCCTTGGGGGTGAAGAGGATTTTATAAAAATATTTTTTAATCTGCCAGCCTTTCAGAAGCTTTCTCACACCATGCCACCTAGCCCATGAATTGTCTCTGTAATAGAGTATTTTTGAGATATAAATCATTTTGGGGAATCATTTATTTGGGGGTGAAAATGAAGTTTTATTTATATTTTTTCATCTATCACCCCTTTAGAGATTATCTCAGTATATGCTATTTAGCTCATTAATTACATCCAATACCATATATACAGTAACCGGTAAGTGAAAATTCGAAGAAAGGTTTTGGGTTAACTCTTGTTCCTGCGAATTATTTGATTAGGGTGGAAAATGATTCTTCCTATAGGGGTGCTTATTCTCGTGCATATATATTTATTGTTGCGAGCTGTTAGCTGTATCCTTCACAGTCACAGTCTGGTCGAGGATGTCGACGTCACTGGTCATTCGGGTATCTTCGGCACATTGTCCGCTAAATTTTGTCTGCCAACTTCACACCGGTGTTCAACGAAAAGTCGTGAGCATGAAATCACGGTAGATCCACAAAATAAGACATTAGATTGGTCGTATTACACTCCATTTCGACTCCTAATTGAATTGAAAAATAAATGTTATTACGCTCTACTGCTATGTGTTAAAATAAACATTTCCCCGATAGCACGAAATATTCATTAAATACTTATTTAATATTTAATAATATTTTTATCTTACTTAAATATTTGTTTTCTTAAACAACTCATCATGCTCAGCACCAATAAAAATACTGGAAAGCAGCTTATGTATTCAATAATACTTCATAATTAGTAATTTTTTTCAGAGGAGTGGACTTGCAAGATGCAGAAGAGGCTTAGAATGTTTTTTGATAATATTTTTCTAGCAAATTAAACCATTATATCTAGATTGAATTTTCTTTATAAACCAAATTTTATATAAGCATTCCTAGAGATTTTGCTAAAATAACCAATGAAGAATTTTCTATCTACACTGAAAATATGTATCAGATTAATGCTTGAAGATCCATACATATTTACGAAAAATATTAGATATTTCATCAAAATAAAATTGATATTTAAAAATCTTTCATCATATATTTTCTAAATATTTGGAAAAAATATCTCAAAAATATATGAATTGTATATATATACTACAAACATCTATAATGAATATTTCATAAATATATAAGAAATATATACATATATTAAATATTAAAAAAATCTGTCGCTACAAATATTTAACAAATATTTTTTAAAAATATTCAATAAATATTTAATGCTATCGTATCGGGGTTGTGTGTTAACACAAATTATTTATTCATATTTACTGTTTCTAGCTTGGCAGTAGTGATTGCAATCCCGCAAAACGGGATCACGCATTCCCGTATTCAACATATTCAAGAGCACCGCAGTGATTTAACAGGAGTTTTGATTTATTTGCAAAATCCGAAAAAGGACAGCTCGTCAAGTGTAGAAAGAGATATGAGGATTTGCTGGGGTTGCGCACACGAGAAAGGGAGAACGCATTCGGAGCAAAAGAGAGTGGCACAGTCTGCGTCCTAAATTAATCGAATAATTTCAATAATGGAATACGTATTATGTGAAGCCTGCCTTTTTCAATCGAAATTGTTGGCATGTGTCAAATTTTCAAATATCTTTTTGTGAGCCCAATATTCTAAATTTGGTAACTTCATTAACGTTACAAGACTAAGTTCTATCATTGTCAGCGTTAGATTATTAATTCCACGAGCACTCGATCAAGCTATCTATTGCCTGTAGTACTTCATGTGGCTCGATAACTCTTAAAGAAAATTTGTTCATTGGGTTGAGTTTATGTGCATTATAAAATTGAGTTTAAGAGTATATAATATACAACAACGAATCTATATCAGTAGGATATCTTAAAATACATTTGAACGTCCACCAGAAGCATTTAAAAATATATATCTGAAAAAACAAGTTTTATATACTACTTTTTCAATATTTTCAAAATTGCATAATACATTAGTTTTACGGAAATACCGAAGAAAGTTTAAACATCGGATTTAACCAAACCAATTTATTCCATAAAATAAGTATTGCACGCTATGTAGCTATAAAACTGAAATTGGTTGGTACTAATTCTATTTTTAATTGTTAATCAAATGAAAAGTAAGGTCAGAAAATCAACATCGCAGTAGATATAATCTGAGCTACTACTTAAACTTAAAACTTCGGTTCCGCTATCGCTATCTTCGTCTAGGTTTACTATTATTTGATCGACAACTAAGTGGAGTGGTTCCATTTCCATATACTGCTTCTCGAAACCTTGGCATGCTCATATCGCTTTTTCCATTCTTCTGTGGGATAAGACGAGAATAAGTCGTGGCAAAGTTTGTCGACAGTCTTGAGATTAAAATCTACATCTATCAGCCACATATTGTTTCAAAGATGCCCATACCAACTCAATTGGGTGATATGGTGGCAATTTCAAAACAGAATGACCTTTTTCAGCCATTATTCTGTCTATTTCATAAGTTATATATGCCGGCTTATGCATTTTGATAAGGCTATACAAATCAATTTTCAACATGTCGTCAGTGAAATGTATGTTTTTTTTTCGTAGCAATACATACAATTCACAAATAATAAGTAATAAAGTTGTTTCACTACCTGACAATTTTTATCCTGGCTGTACGCTAACTAGTCTAGACACGACAATAGACTAATGCTTCATTCGGCGAATTGAGCCGCTAGCTACTGTGCACCGAGAAGGAGTGACATTATTCAAAAATTCGCATCTCTTCCAACACTTGACGAGCTTGTATGACGAAGAAGCCAAAAATACAGATCGTACTTATACATTCTTCATGCCAAGAAAAGTTGCAGTACGCCAAGAAATAAATAAAATAATAGAAAGAGTCGTAGTTCACGTCGATTAAACATATGCAGATGACGTCTTCGAAAATACACCTATAGCTGGAACATCTGCTACTGATACAGATCCTACTAAAAGAAGAATTAGAAATACAGCTTCAACAAGAAAAAGGAATATTTAAGAAAAATCCAGACAACAAGCAAAAGGACTTCGAGAAAATTTTGAAGAAAGAAATGGAGTTCTTTGAGTCCTATGGTCTCAGAGGAGAATACCTGACGCTCGCCTATGAATATATCCTGACGGTTCAGCCTAGTAGCGTAGAAGCCGAGAGAGCTGTTTCAGCAACAGGATATATTTGCAGTTCACTCAGAAGCAGGCTCGGAGATGATACAATAAATGCCATTTGCTTCTTAAGAGCGTATTTTCAAAAGATATCAGCATAGGTGATATCATAGTGATAGCATCTAAGAGAAAATTGTGATTTGATTATTAGTAATTATATGAATGAGACTGAATTAAAAATATAGAAGTGTCGTTAGTAGTAAGGGTAAAATTAAACCAAACTGTTAAACAATGCCAAAGGTGAATCTAAGAAAACAAGTTACTAATTACTTATTCTCGATTAATAGAAAAGAGATTTCTGTTGCTTAATGCAATAAATGTTTAATAAAAGTTGATTTTTACACAAAAATCTGTAGTTTCAATTTGACTTTATAACATAATTTAAAAGATGCGTGATCCCGCGCGGGATTGAATAATCCAGCATATCAATCCCGCGGGATTAAATGAGCTGCCGAATTGCAATCCCTACTTGGCTGTACTACAAGTCAAATGTAGTGGGTAAACGAATACTAGCGATGGGCTGGAAGGATGCATTTGCAAATATTCACAAGCGTTAATTAGGGTAATTCACCGCCATGAAGCATATGTTAATCAATGCATAAACACAGTATTCACATCAAAACTTGCTATCTTAATTTGTTACAAGCAAGAAAGAAATATGTGGTTGTTGTATGTTGATCCAGTTCGATGCTCTGCTTTCGTCCAACTGATCAAACACAGCCTACCATGAACAGCTTGGCGTAGTGGTCGAGAGCATGTTTATTTTATTTTGTTCATTGGCAAGTAGACCATATCTACTAGACAGCTACAAGCGTCCAATTCGCGGACTGAGATCTATACAGTCCCTGCCGTTTGGCTGCGACTCATTTTCGCAGTGGTGGATCCTAGTGGTAGATGTCACTTCCCGCTGTCTTATTTCGATAGATCAGACACTTTGGATAGCGTATAGTTGTTATGCTTTTGTTAATTGTCCGAGAGACCCAAGCTTAGACGATGATGCCAAAAAGCACGAAACAGCTGTGCATGGTTGGCTGTCTTTGGTCGGACGGACGAAAGTAGAGCATGTTGACTTTATTTTGTTCAAATACTGTATTCTTACAAACAGATGGTATGTCAAAAAAATCAACAATAACCTAAAAAAAAAAATGGCATGTTGGGGACGGTGACGTCCTTGCGAAGTGCGCTAAAAATGCGGCATTCAAGTCATCGTCATTGACATTGCAGTTTTAAATATTGGATTAAAAATAAATATAGACATTTCCATGAAATATATTTTTCGGTATTATATTAGCCTTGCATTGAGTATTGCATCAGGGAGGGCTTTAAGCAGTCCTGTAAATGACTTAAATCTGATGATGTAATTTCATTGGCTCTGTATAAACTTGATGCCTAACCTTTCAGTTAAGGTTACTAATGTTTATTTGAAAATGTACTTACAATTCCTAGTGGGCAACTTACCTAATTATGTTCCGCCCTCGTCGAAGTAAATATTTAGAATTCATATCGTAGTACCCTCGTAGTAGTACCCAACCCTCACGATTTCAATGTGCGCAGGCAGCGAAGAAAAGCGACACCGTGCCCTTTCCTCCTATCTTCCACCACTCTGGCCGCCTATAAGAGCCTTCATTCCTTGTTCTCGTGCCAAACTGTTAACACCGCGATCGGCGCGCATTTTTACCTTTTCAGCAGTGTCGAGGAATCGCTGAACATTTAGAATTAGAAAACAGGACAGAAGTTTGGCCGATAGATGTGCATTGTCGAACGCGATACCGACCGACGGTCGGCTGAAGGTTCCTTTCCTCGCGGAGCAAAATTAGAAAGTGGCGTGCAGGCCTCTTTTTCTGAAGGGGCGTCACCATCAGGTAACTGTCGACTAACCGATCTGTTTTAGGTGCAAGTTAAACGACTATTAGTATAGATGCCTCACCGGCGCTGCAAACTGTGCCAAACACGACGTTTGGGATAACGTTCTGATACTGTTGATTGGGATAGCAACCTGGACCTAGGGTGTGATAGCCAACTCCATACCTAGGACGAACAAAGACGTTTGGGATAACGCTGAAATATTGAACTCGGTTGCTTGGGATAGCAACGTGGACCACCTGGCTTGGGATAGTCAGCCCCACGCTCCACACCAAGGACGAACGAAGACGTTTGGTATAGCGTGGAAGCATTAGACTCGGTTGCTTGGGATAGCAAGTTGGACCTGGCTTGGGATAGTCAGCTCCACAACAAAGAAGAACAAAGACATTTGGTATAATGTTGTAACATTGGGCTATGTTGTTTGGGTTAGCAACATGGACCTAGCTTGTGATAGTACACACCAAGGACGAATGAAGATGTTTGGGATATTGACTCAATACTGAACTCCGTTGCACAAATAACACACTGAAAGCATTTAGGACAACGTAGCAACACGGTATGGTCAACAATCTCTTCTCAATTGCTTGTGATAGCAAATTTTTACTGGTTTGTGATAACCATAGAACAGAACTGTAAGTTTGAACATGGCAGGTTAGGAAGTCGTTAAGATATATTTTTCCTTATTACCAGATATAAATTCCATCTGGTTTGTGATAACCTTGGAACAGCATAATCAGATTGCACAAGACAGTTTAAGAAACCGACGAAGTACCATTTTTCATTAACAAATTAACAAATAAGGATTAGGTTCATGTATGCGATACATTTTGTTTGAGATAGCAAATTCCGTATGGTTTGTGATAGCAATGTAGCAATATAGCATTTTTCATTTATAACAGATAAAAATTGGGTACATCTATGTGAGACTAGGGGTACTTTTTGCTTGGGATAACAAATTCCATCTGGTTTGTGATAACAATGTAGCAATATAGCATTTTTCATTTATAATAGATACAAATTGGGTACATCTAGGTGAGACTAGCGGTACATTTTGCTTGGGATAGCAAATTCCATCTGGATTGTGATAGCAACGTAGCAATATAGCATGTTTCGGTGTTTCTGAAATTTCACTTGTAGAAATAACGCAAGGATCTGTTGGAGGGACACATGACGCCGCTTCCACTAATTCTGAAGCTTATCCTGGTTATTGCCACTGGAAAGCTGTCATTCCAATCAGCATCGATAATCCATAATGTACTGTGGGCTTAGATTACGGTAGGACCTTTGTCGCGAAGAAATACATGTCTGGTTTTCAGTCTTTTACCCAAAATGTTACTAATGTTGCAGACATAAGATGTTTTTTGAAGGGCATTTACAGACTGAGGCCATCTCAACTGAAATATAGATACTGTGGTTGTTCTCAACCAACCAAAGGGGTTGCTGGTAAGCTCTGTAGATATTTGAATGAGGAAATCAGCAACACTGCTAGCTCTAACCTCAGGTCAGAGTGTGCAAACTAATTGATACCGGATCGGGTTGAATAATACTGAAATTGGGATTTCTCAGTTTTTAAAAGTCTCGGGGTCACTCATGTGGCAATCACTTAAGTTTTACCGTATTTTACGCCCAAATATCTGTGCAAAGTATTTATTTGTCACTATACCTACAGTAACTTTATCATGGTGCCTCGGCTCCCAGATGGATGATGTCGGTTTTAGCACAGGGTGTCACAATTGACAGCCCACAGTTCATGAAATGCGTCTACCTCTCCGCCTGCTAAATTATAGTAGTATCAGGCTCACGGCGGACTGGAGTGCGTTTTCTGAGATACGTCACAAATCTCTTATGCCAAACAATAGCTTTACTCAAGCGGCATTTTAAGTGAACCAAGTCTCCACACCTTAAACATTACTATATTATTACGTTATTTGCTTATTACCATGAAATGGATGGTAATTTTTGAAACAGGTACGTCATATTACCTGTTGCTAAAAGTTGTTACAATGGAAATGTACATTTAGTTGACACATACATTGAGTACAATTTGTGTAGTTGTGTACAACCTATCGTTTATTATTGCAGAGCGTTAGTAGTATGTTGTTGCAACTAGCTTTAAACATCTACGATATGTATTCTAAATATTTACTTCGACGAGGACGGAACATAATTACATGATCAAACGAACTTACCTGTAAGTGATGTTCGATCTTAATTATGTAAAGTCCTCGTCAAAGTAAATAGCTCCCTCTCTCCCTATGTATCACACAATTGTTGCAACAACTTGGCTTTGAAGAAGATGAAGGTTAATTGGCGGCCAGAGGGGAGGAAGGTAGGGGGAAGGGGCGCGGTGCCGCTTCCCTTCGCTGCGTGCCCGCTTTGAAATCGTGCGTACTACTACGAGGGTACTACGATATGTATTCTAAATATTTACTTCGACGAGGACTTCACGTAATTAAGATCGAACATCACTTACAGGTAAGTTCGTTTGATCATGTAATTCTAGCTCAGAGTGCTCAGATTACTTCTTGTTTTTTACAGGGTGCTTGAAAGATCGATACCAATATTTTAAGGGGTACACCCTAGTTTGAGTACAAGTCACATATACCTTAGTGCGAAGTCGAACCGTATTTGAGTGTCAGGCAATTTTTTAAAATCCCAGAAAAAGCTACAAGCATGTGATAAACCACCGTTTGTTCCATAATGAAGAGCAACTCATTACTTCTGTTATCATTTTTCTCGCTCATCTTGATATATTTTATTCCTGTACAAATAGTTATGGGAGAGTTTGGCAGCGGGGTAATTTAAAATCATTAAAAAATCTTCCTCCACTTTTACTCGTTCGTTATAGTAAGTGATGCAAACCGATACAACCATATTTTGTCTCAATATAATATTAGAAGAAGCAGAGTATCACTGAAACTACGGAAAACTATAACACACATTTTTCACAAAATAAAGCACTTGATAGTGACAAAATTATTCATTCACTCAAACATAAAATGTAAACCTCTATGTAATTCCTATACATTTTTTCACCTGTGTTTCGCATCCTGGTTGTAGTGGTCAGTTTACTAAAAGTTATTTGGTTTCACAGTTTCTTATCTGATTAATGTACGATCATAAAACTTTATACTCGTATAACACTTACTTTCGAGTCTGAATTTTCACTGATGAATGTTTCTGCCTGGGAATCAAAATCGTCCTCTTGGATGTAAATTTCGTTTAGTGCTTGCTGCTTGTGCTCTTTACAGTACTTTATGTATATAGACTGAGCAACACGAAAACTTCTTATTGTCATCTGTAAAATATACTGTAGATTTAGCAGATGTATGTACAAATACGATTCTATGTCTGTTGAAGCTAACTTTCCGTCACGAATATGACCTGTCGTGATAATTTCGACACTGCGACCATCATTTTGAATATAAGAATCAAAAGCAAAGCGACATTGGAGTTGGCTTTAATAGCCGAAATTCAGTTAGAATTCGGGTCTTGGTCATAAAAACGAACGAAGTCAGATCTTGTTGTTCTCATTTTGACAGTGACTTTTAGCAAAGTACAGAGATAATTTCTTACATAAGAGTAGATAATCTGAAAATAGTTTTGGAGGTCTTTACAAGCCAAACGGGATTCCTAATCTTCAATATACAAAAAACAATTTTGGCTTTAAATTTTTAAGTTTCATTGATGATATTACAAACTTTAATTCCTTCTTTCTAACCTTGAAATCACCTAAAGTCATTTTATCCCTCAGTTTGATGATAACCATATGTATTAAGTCCGTATCACCACTTTCAATCGCTTTCATTAGTGCAGGTGTATTCTCTTCCAGTTCTAGCAATAATTTCACTTGTTTACTAGCTTGCGACTCATAATCAAGAAGCTGAAAAAAAAGTTTGCATTATAATAATGATATTTATGTCAAGTAATAATGGGTATGCTAAATCAAAACACAGTACAGTGGTTGGACTCTTGTTAAAAGTGGTCAAAGTATTTTTTATGTCCTGATTTCTCTAAAATATATTCGGAGGTTTTTGGAATCAAAGACTTCATTACTGATATCCATAGCTAATAATGTTTAATAAACTTAATATTGAAATGAGGCGTTTATTTATCCTATAGGGACATTTTGCTTCACCAAACCACATATGTCCATAAATAATTTGTTTACTCCGATTTTTAATTGAATTCTGATGGATCGGTATAATGTTACACTGTTCGGCCCTTCATTCCATTTAAAAAATAAAGCAAATTGTCGCCCAGGAAATTGTAACTGCAACTTTTACGGTTAAATATAGTATTCATTCATCGATCTCATTACACCAAATTTCAGCTTTCTGACGTGACCCTCTCAAAAAGTAAGTACAGGGAGCATTTTTTTTTTAAAAGCACTGTATTGTCATTATTTTGATTCGCTGTTTGGTAGAGGCTGTCGAAGCAGCCAAAACGTCACTAACTCGACTATTTAACATCTGTGATTTTATTTAATGACCAACGTAACAGAAACGACGAAGGGAGCATTTATTTTTAACAATAAGCCCCAAGCATATCGATAGAAAGTTTTATCATGATAATAATTATCAAGTATATTGCATCAGTATACCACCAATGCGATCAATACTTTTACACAAAGTTCGAGACCTTCTAGCCATTTTATACTACAATGTGTAGGTTGGCTCTTGTTTATTATCATTATTATTTCACTTTTAACAACAAAACCTATACACAAACACACGGTTCTCCAGTGCGATTATGTTATCATCAATTCTAGCAGAATACGTAATGCATGATCTGCTGATATTGTTATTCAGGTATTGCCCTACAACCTTTTCTTAATAAAAAATACGTATATGATATCATTGTTTGTCTACCTGTTGAAGGTTTGCACAGTATTGTAGACGATTTCAACAGCTATGATCCCTATAAACAATTCACCATAGACAAAGAGGATGATAATTAGTTCCACTCCTGGACTCAAAAATCATCCGAAACAACAATATCTTATTGGTAGACTAGTACCTACATGAAACTCATGGCATCAAGCAGATTCTTGAAGTTCAGGTCTTACCATCAACTTAAGATAAAGATAAATTTGGTGAAACAAATGAAGTCAAGGGCTATTAGCATTTCTGACAATACTGTCCATCTTTCAAATTTATGAAAACTGTCAAATCAATGCTATTCATCAATAATGGTTATCCCAAATACCTGACCAACAGAATTTTGTTCAGCTCTCCTACTGCTACACCGCTTTCACAAATAATAATAACAATAGTCCCAACCTTTTCAACAATAACAATGAAAATCATTCCAATAATAACAACAATACAGATGGTCCCTCAAATTCCAGAATTAATTTTGCGATCCTGCCGTATATCAAGGACCTAACGCCAAATTTTTCTAGACTGTGCAACACTTTAAATTGTCGCATTGCTTACAAATCTTCTCTCATAATCAACAAATGTCTTTTCCAAAATGAAAGATGGAGTTCCTCTGCTTAGCTTATCCAATATTGTCTATTCCATCAAATGCAATAACTGCAATCTCACTTACATAGGTCAAACCTCGAGATCACTAAAAGGTAGAATAACCTCACACAAAAGTGATACCAGACTGCATCGAGAAAGACGTGCTTTGGCTTCATATGTCCACCATGTTCCTGGAAATGTCTCATATCTTTATGATAGTCAGTTGCATGAACAAAAAAGCAGATATCAAGCAACTTAGCTGTCATTTATGCATACTTGTTGAACTGCGAAAAATTGTTGTTAATTTGTTCACAATTAATAATCAATTTTCCTCCTAATTATATTTCCTCAACTTTTGAAATTTCTTTCGTATTACCTAGTACGGTAGAAGGATACCATCGAAATCACATTCCTTCCACAATGACATTTATTAATTTTGAAAATAAGTTTTGAACTTCATCTGGTAGTAAAACGCACCTCCCTCGTAATATTTCACGGAAGTTAGGACGGGAGCTTGCGACGATGAGTTTTTTTTAAACAAAAAGTCAAAATACTTTTTTTTCAGACCGAACTAACAAATTTATATTAAGAAGAATTACAGGGTTGATTGTAGCAAAAGCAAAGTGAATCTGAATAACAATGCAAGTGTGTGTGTGTGTGTAAGATAAGAATGGAAAAACCTGATGCAGTGTCTTCTTTCTTCGAACCTTTGCATTTCCAGTGACGTAAGTCTCCCCTCTTTAAACAACGACTTTGTAGTCTGCATGTGTTTTTGGATTTCGTGCATATCTTCTAATGGAATAATTGTTCCTAATTTCAATGGTCTTAGTTTTAGGTTGGCTAATTCCACTGATGAATTTTTAGCTATTGAAGGTAATACTAAGAGCTTTCCAATTGCCTTTTGCTGTCTATTTCCAAAACGATAGTTTTGATATTCTATATTGCAGTTTACAGGAACTTCTACTAAAGTGCTGCCTAGGACAGCGGAATTCTCTTCATCTGGACATTTTGATTTCAAAGTAATTTTTTCTTCAGTGACTCGGTTAAATACTCTTTCTGCGGGTTCCGCTGGTACTAATTGGCATTGTGACTGTTTTGCTAAGATCAGACTTGAGACACAGTCTTCACCAGGATTATACTTAATTTCTTCTTGTTAACATATATATATATATATATATAAATTTTCTAATTGGGCACAGGGATCTCCCATGTAATGATAGCTTCTGTCTTCTAGAGCCAAATAAGGTTTTTGTGGTATAATTAAGGTATGTTCATTCATAGGAATTGGAAATAAGTGGAAATATTGGAGGATTGATGGGTAAATAATCGGTATTTCAATGGCAAATATAATCTTAGTGTCATGAAAATAACATTAAATATTAATTATTAAATATCAAGATTGTAAATTCAAAATTTCGTTAGGCATATAATAATTTCTTGTCTCTTCCAAAATTTGTAATAGACTTACTTACTTGTCAAAATGTCTGGGTGAACTATGTTTAATTGTGCAAATGTGACTGCATTTTCCAAATTGTCTAGGAAGGTAATAATGGCATTAGCACCAATAAAAATCTGATCCCAACATACTTACTAAAATTGTATATGTATGCATTTGGTCATCTATGTTTTGAATGTATGCTTTATAATCCTCAATATATTCAGAAATTTTCCTTTGATTTTTACTGATTGTATCAATGGTTCTTGAATATTTTTCAACAAGACTTTTAGCCATGGAAATTTGACAGTTTATTTCCTTAATGATTTTCTTTTGATTTGAGCTCAAAATTGTAATAGCATTGTCGAAACGTTTACCAGCCGATTCGTCTAACGTGCCGAATAACAATTTACTTATGGATCGGCCTAATTTAATTAATCCTCGTCTCTGTCTAAATTCTCTAAGAAAAATATTTTGGAATTTGTTTTTCATTTCAGTTATTACAGGAAACAGGTGATCGTACTTATTTTTTAATACCAGATAATAGAGGGGCTACTCCCTAAAGAAGAATTTAGATTTGTATATATATTTACCAAATTTTGAATATGTTTATTCAGATCCTCCAATTGAACACCATGTAAGCAAATATGTTTTCTATCCACTAAATGAGTTTTGCCTAATTTAAAAGGAAGGATGCCAGTTGAGTTGGATAAATTTGTAACTTTAACTTCACTAGTTATCATTTTGGCGACTACAAGGCGGATCAGGAAGATTTTCGTTGCTTCCATGTTCGTCCTGTAACAAGTGAGGTTTTCTTAATTCTTTGTTATGAACTATTTCTATTTTGCCTTTATCACTTTTTATTTCAACTCTATTATGCTCTAATAGATTTACAATAGTATACGGTCCTATAAATTTATTATGTTTTTTATCTCTTATTTTAGGGTTCTTTTTATATACCGTTTGATTAACAGTAAATTCTTCACATTGATCACCTTTAACATTCCTCTTTGCCAAAACCTTTTGCTTATCTTTTATCAATTTAAATATTTTTTTAATTTGACGACATGATCCTGGAGTGTTGAACTAAAAATTATTATGTCGTCAAGGTAAATGAAGCAAGATTCTCCTATTAAACCTCTAAATACATTATTTACACAACGCATAAAGGTGCTTAGACTATTTTTTAAACCTTAAGGCATTCTTAATAATTCGAAGTGACCATTCATAGCAGAAAAAGCTGTTTTAGGAATATCATTTTCGTCCATTTGAATTTGATAATATCCAAATGCAAGATCAAGAGTTGTAAAATAATTTGATCTACCAAGTTTGTCTAAAATATTTGTAATATTGGGTATAGGAAATTTATCATATATTGTATGCTCATTTAATGTTGTATAGTCTATTACACTTCTCCACTTCTGTTTACCAGATTGATCCATTTTTTTTGTACTACCCAGATGGGGCTGCTATAGGGTGAATTTGAATGTCTAATGATTCTGTGTTTCAGCATCTTATTGATCTGTTCGCTTACTTCCGGTTTATGTATTTCTGGAAATCTGTACGATTTAGTATAAATAGGTGTGTCATCTGTCAACCTAATCTTATGTTTGATTTCATTCGTAAAACTACGAGGAATTTGTTCGCAATAAAATATATCTCTATATTCAAAAATCAATTTTCTAATAGCTCTACTCTCTTCTTCATTAAATGATCCAAATTGATATTTTTTAAATTTTGTTTCAAAACGTTCTCGTATTTCTTTGTGTATTTAATGTTCTCGTTAACTTGGGACATGAAATTTGTATCTATAGGATTAATTAATTCAATATCAAATGGTGCTGTAATCGTAACCACAAATGGCTTAGGATTTGGATTATGGATGGCTGTGATAGCAAAATAATTTTTTATGTTCACTAGGGCTGTAGGGGAATTCAAGTTATTACCAAAATCTATTTCTTTTAAAATCCCTAATCCAGTTTCATAGCAAACAGGAATCTTTAAAATTTGTTCACATTCTGGTTCCACAGTCTGGTGTAATTAAAAGTTTATCCTGAATGTCTACTATAGCATGTAATTGTTGCAATAAATCCATAGCTGTAAGACCATCATACTTCGAATTGAAATCGAAAATATAAAATTTATACCATTGATCAGTTTCGAAAATGTCAAAAACTGGAATAACTACTACTTCATTATGGTAACTTATATCGTGAGAGGTTTGTATGTCAAAATGCTCGTTCTGAATATAGTCTGGAAAATATGTATGAGCTAAATTTGGACTAATTAAACTTCTTGTGCTTCCTGTATCTAATAGGAATTTCGCATCTAGTTCAGGTATGGGTATGGGTTGGTAGCTGAGATTTGGGAAGGTTCTGACTAGAAGCATTATTGCCAGAACTTTGACCAAATTGTCTCTTTCTGCAACTGATACATCCATAGATATTAATTTTTAAGCTATTGCACTCCTAGCCTTTTGAATTATTTGCCCAAAATTAAAGAAAGATTCATCTTTATGAGGTTTCATAACAATTAATTCCTGAACAAGGCAATCCAAATTCCTTTGATCACCAAAACTGAGCCGTAAAAGAATCTTTAAATATTGCCAATTTCTAATTTCTGGTCTACTTCCGACTAAAGCTAAAGCATTACCTGTTAATTTGCTTACGATAGCTCTTATCAGAAAATCATAGAGAGGGTCACTAAAATTGTTCAAGTTTGTATAGGTAAGTGTTAATCAGATTGATCACAGTGTTCAAGGAAAATTTCTAAAGTACTATTGTCACCATTAAAAATTTGGAATTGTGTCTATATATAGTCTCAGTAGCTGGTAATTCACCTGTGATTCAATACTCATTGTGCTAATATTACTACTACTACTAGTAGGACTATCTAAGCTTAGGTTATTAAAGTTTTCCAGTAAGTCCTCAATGTTGACTTATTTTTTTATCTCTAATTTACTTAATTTTTATGCCTGAAGAAGTTATATTTACTAACTCTTAGACTCGATCATATGCATTGATCCACTTAAAATGAACGCTAATGTACCATATGCGCTGGTACCCTAGGGAGATACTTTGCCTTTGAACCAACACGGAAAGCAAGGAATTATAGGAAAAAGGATGGCTCACCAATGTCCACTTGATAAGTCCAACTTCTTGACCTCAACTCCAGCCGGCTTCCAAGTAATTCTTCCCTTACAGGTAGATCCGTTTGGTCGTTAAGGGTTGAAACTCACAGAAATTTCGCGACGCGGCGGAACTTCTCGACCATATCCTACTGCTAACTGCGCCAGTTAGGACGGGAGCTTGCGACGATGAGTTTTTAAAAAAAAACTCAAAATACTTTTTTTTTCAGACCGAACTAACAAATTTTTATTAAGAAGAATTACAGAGTTGATTGTAGCAGAAGCAAAGTGAATCTGAATAACAATGCAAGTGTGTGTGTAAGATAAGAATGGAAAACGCTGATGCAGCGTCTTCTTTCTTCGAACCTATGCATTTCCAGTGGCGTAACTCGGAACTCCCTACAAGGTAGGCAACATACGTCACAAGGATTGTTCCCACAGTCGATAGTGTGTCAATAATCTCAACCGCACAAGTCAAGAGCCAGTGTCAGTCGGCCAGCCAGTGTTAGAAAATGTAGGGGTTACTAGAAAAGATGAAGTTTCGAAATAATTTTCAATACTTAATAAATCTCCAATTATTCTAAATCCGTTAGTAGTTCTCTTTCACTGTCGCTTAAGAACAATTTTAGCAACAATCTCGCTGACTTAATAAGAAATGATATTCCTCCTAATTGTTTATTGTTGCGATTTCCAAATTTTGTTTTTAGCTCCTGATGACGATGGCATAGACCATCGAAAGCTTGAGGTTAAGTTAAAAGAGTGCACTTTTGCAAAACTTTGCCTTTATCCCAAAGAAATTCAAGGATATATATATACAGGGTGCCCCATCCATGTGTGGACGGAATATTACTCATAAGCAAATACATTTTGGGAAAATCTATTTATGGGATGTTATAGATGACACTTGAGGGCACAATTCTGAAATATTAGCCATTTTGACCTACATATCAGAGTCGTGATTTTTTAAATGGAATGCCTCAAATTTTATTGCATATTTGGATAAACCAATTCAAAAGAAGAACATTGATATATGGGGTTATGGTAATTAGCTACTGAGATACAAGGTTTTTTGTCTAGAAAAACCCACCACCTTGGCAACCCCTCAGTCTGTCATTTTGAAATTTGTAGTGCTGAATTTTGTTTCAAAAAAAAGTTACAAACCTCAGCTCTTATCTTAGTTGTTACTTTTTCGAATTTTAATTTTTGCTCATACAGGCTGGTCAAAAACGCAAATTGTTTTTCTCAAAAATTTCAAATGCATCATATGTGTGCAAGTTTGGATTCAATTTTTTATAAGCTTTTTTGATACTACACACATAAGGGCTTTTACGACTATTTTTTCGGTTATTAGCACGTCTTTTATGGAACGGCTTAATTCCCAAAAATATGGCATCATCCTTGGAAACAAATAAATTGTTGATTAGTTACAAATTGTCAAAATTAGCTTGGTAAGCATTATATAGAAACGTGTTTCAAAATGAATTTTTCTAAAGAATGAATGCCAAATATGGTGTTCGTTTGGAGCGAAGCGCATAAAAATAGTTTCCTCGCATCTCGCATTTATAAGCAACGGTACCCCAATATGCGACATCCAAGGCCGGAAACATTTTCCACACTACCGGAACGTTTTGAATCAAGTGGAGCAGTGGAATGTAGTAAAAAGTATAAATAATTCAAGTGTCACCAATGAGCGAATCAGTTGGAGGTTCTACCAAAGTTGCAGGACAATCCCCATTTAAGTGCATAGCAAATTGAAGCAGTAACTGATGTATGCAGATCTCTGTTCAAAGGATTATTCACAAGCATAGGTACCATCCATATCACCTATGCTTGCATCAAGGCCTTCGTCCTCAGGATTTCGCAACTCTAATGGAGTTTAGAAGAATAATGCAAGAATAATGCTAAATAAAGCGAGTGAAGACACTACTTTCCTGGATAAGGTTCTTTTTAGCGACGAGGCAACTTTTAACAGTATATGTGTTGTTAACAGGCATAACATGCACTATTATGCGACGGAAAACCCTTACTGGGTTAGGCAAATAGATTTCCAAAATAAATGGAGCTTGAATGTTTGGGGAGGAGTTACTGGCAGACAAGTTATCGGGCCTTTCTTTTTCGACGACAGATTAACAGGTACAGAATAGTTGAATTTTTTGATCGAGCATTTGCCTTTGCTTTTGGAGGATGTCAACCTCCAGACTCGGATGGATATGTTCTACCAACATGACGGCGCACCGGCGCATTATAATCGTGTGCGTAACTATTTGGGCACCTGGAGTAACAATCGTAGGATCGGTAGTGATGGGCCTATATCTTGGTCTCCTAGATCACCAGATATGTCACCGATGTGAAGGAAAGGATTAAGGATGCTGAGGGATGTGCAACGGTCATTTATCCACATGGTGGAGATATTTTCGATCAGTTTTTGTAGATTAGGTCTTGAGTAGTGATAAATGTTGGTTTATGTTGTTGTTAGAGTTGTTTTCCTCTATTATGCTTGAAGCTGATTTATACTGTTCTGATTGTTATTAGTTTTTACGTCAAATCTGTACTCTTAGTTGCAATATGGAACTAGTCCACTGTTTGTCTTTTGTTTCCATGGATGATGTGATATTTTCCTTAATTTTGGTGTGTTGTTCTATTAAAAGCTTAATAACTCAAAATCTAGTGATTTTATCTGAATCAAACCTCATACCAAAAAAAAGCTGAAAAAAAATTGAATCCAAACTTGCCCAAATATATATATATATATATATAAGTTATGTACCAGTCTAGAGAGAAGAAGATGCTGAACAAGGACTTTTGCCTCCATGTTCCTTTCTTATCAGTTTCAGTATTGTATTTCATTTGTTCTTTACTTTGGTTTGTATAATGCACTTTGCAGTCAGTCTCGATTCAGAACTCATTCAATTAACATCGTTGTATTTGTTTTTTCTCAAAAATAAATCTTTTTTAAAAACGTTTTCGTTGAAGAAAGATATTTGAGTGGCGCAGCAAGCAGTAGGATAGCCAGACGAAAAAGGACATTTTCGGTTCGTTTCAACGGTTTGCTGGCTATAACGAAACCAACCGCGATTGGTCGCGAACGATCCGACGGAATATCGATATCGTTACCGTGATCACCGGAACCAGATTTGGGATAGAACCCTACCCAAATCGAGAAACCAAGAAGACAGCAGCCCAGAGGACAGAAGGAACATCTGCTCCAGGACAGGCAACCCAGCAGTGGCCCAGGCATACGGACACATGGGACGGATTGGATTACTACTGTAAGTACGAATGTCTTACAGGGGTGAAAACAATCAAGAGCTGTTTGATGATACATTGAGTGACACTGATTCGGACTCACAGTCGGATACGGAACATATCCAACATAGTTTAAGGAATTTGCAATAAAGACCTAGTATACTAAATAGTACAGTCAATATGAACAACAGTAAAGTAAATCAATCAAGCATGTCACTACGCCCAGAGTATCTTAACATGATACCCGAATTTTATGGTCAACAAGAATTAGATAAACATAAAAATGTCAATCGAAATAATATGCAATTAGTTCGCCATATGAACAACAACTTTGGTAATTATAGGAATCAATACCAAGCGGTACAGCGTCCAGTATTACAAAGACAATTTAGTCCTAATAATGTACGACCAAATAATCCTAATCAGAATAGAACGAATTTTCACAATAATAACGTTTTTAGACCTAATCAGATCAATAATCTGCCAAGGCCTACTCCGATGAGTACATCCACTAGACAGACGTATCAGCAACCAAATTTTCAAGGTAGAAATTTTAACACACCTGGTGTAAACGCAGAACAGGCTATGTTTAACTTGTGTGTACAAGACCAACCTGTTGTAGAATTTCCAAATGATGACAATTATGAATGTGCTTATTCTCAGAATAATTCTGACGATTTTTTAGGGCAAGAAGCCTCGGTACAGAGACAACCTCAAGTCTCAACGGACCACCAAAGTCAATTGAAATTATGAGTTTAACCGACAAATGTAGCAAACTACCATACATTGTATTTCCGGAGTATGATCTCAAAGTATTTATTGACACTGGAAATACAAAATCTTTCATACACCCTGATATTGCGAAAAAAATATTTTCAAGACATATTCAAAAAGACCCATTTCAAATCACTTCAGCACATGGTTCATCTATCGAACAATATAGTATGACAATACCTTGTCCAAAGATTTTTAAGAATCCAAATATTCTCATGAAATTTCATTTATTCAAGTTTCACGAACATTTCCAATGCCTTTTAGGACTCGATAACCTGAAAGAGATATTGAATGCCAACATTGATTTGAGCAATGATCTTTTAGTCACACCCACAAGGATACCCATGCAATATCACGAGATTACAAAAAATTCATCTAATGTTATCACTGTTCCACCTAGAACAGAACAAATAATTAAAGTTAACATAAAAAATTTAAAAAATGGTAATGCTATTATTCCATACAGAAAATTATCGTGTTTAGAAATCCCTGAATGTCTTACTACAGTGAAAAATCACGAAGCGATTTGCACAGTATAAAATTTATCTGAAGAACAGATTTCTCTTGACATATCTCGACCAATAGATGTAGAAAATTTTGAAAATTACGAATTTTCAGAAAATTCTGATCCACCGAATATTAATTCTTTGAACTTTCAAAAATATAAATTTGATATTTCCAAAATTAGGACAGAGCATATGAACTCTGAAGAAAAAGACGCAATCACCAAGTTAGTAAGAGAGTATTCAGACATATTTCACATAGATGGTAATTACTTAACTTTTACGAGCAAAATTAAGCATCATATCCGTACAAGCGATGAAATACCCATTTCACTAAATCATACAGATATCCTGAAATCCGCCGAAAAGAGGTACAAAGACAAATACAATCAATGCTTGATCAAAAAATTATTAGAGAGAGCCATTCAGCGTGGTGCTCACCTATATGGATTGTTCCAAAAAAATTAGACGCATCGGGAAAGCAAAAATGGAGAATAGTCATAGACTATAGAAAATTGAATGAAAAAACATTGGGAGATCGTTATACTCTTCCAAACATAACAGATTTGTTAGATAAATTAGGGCGATGCCAATATTTTTCAACATTAGACTTAGCTTCAGGTTTTCACCAAATAGAAATGGCAGAAGAGGATGTTCAAAAAACTGCATTCAATGCAGAAAATGGACACTACGAGTTTACAAGAATGCCATTTGGACTAAAAAACGCGCCAGCGACTTTCCAGCGCGTAATGGATAACATACTGAGAGGTATTCAAAATGAAAAATGCTTAGTATATTTAGATGACATAATATTCAGTACTAGTTTACAGGAAGACATTTCTCGACTTAGAGAAATTTTTGAAAGGTTACGTCAGTCAAATTTTAAAATACAGTTAGACAAATCGGAATTTC